CCAAGTATTGTCCCGCCCCCGTATATACACTATATTGCCCCAGAAGTATTGTCCCCGCCCCCCGTATATACACTATATTGCCCCAAGTATTGTCCCCCCCCCCCCGTATATACACTATATTGCCCCAAGTATTGTCCCCGCCCCCCGTATATACACTATATTGCCCCAAAGTATTGTCCCAGCCCCCCCGTATATACACTATATTGCCCCAAGTATTGTCCCCGCCCCCCCCCGTATATACACTATATTGCCCCAAGTATTGTCCCGCCCCCCCCCCCGTATATACACTATATTGCCCCAAGTATTGTCCCCCCCCCCCCGTATATACACTATATTGCCCCAAAGTATTGTCCCCCCCCCCCGTATATACACTATATTGCCCCAAGTATTGTCCCCGCCCCCCCCGTATATACACTATATTGCCCCAAGTATTGTCCCCGCCCCCCCCGTAATACACTATATTGCCCCAAAGTATTGTCCAACCGTCCCCCCCGTATTTACACTCTATATTGCCCCATAAAAGTATTGTCCCTGTCTCCCCCCCGTACTTATACACTTTATTGAAACCCCAAAGTATTGTCCCCCCCTGTATATTACACTTTATTGCCCCAAGTATTGTCCCCCCCCCCGTTTATACACTATATTGCCCCAAGTATTGTCCCCGCCCCCCCCGTTATATACACTATATTGCCCCAAGTATTGTCCCCGCCCCCGTATATACACTATATTGCCCCAAGTATTGTCCCCCCCCCCCGTATATACACTATATTGCCCCCAAGTATTGTCCCGCTCCCCCCCGTTATATACAGCTATATTGCCCCCAAGTATTGTCCCCGCCCCCCCTGTATATACACTATATTGCCCCAAGTATTGTCCCCCCCCCCTTATATACACTATATTGCCCCAAGTATTGTCCCCCCCCCCGTATATACACTATATTGCCCCAAGTATTGTCCCTGCCCCCCACGTATATTAGAGACTATATTGCCCCAAGTATTGGCCCCGCTCTCCCCCCACGTTGTATACACTTTATGGATTGCCCCAAGTATTGTCCCCCCCCCCCGGTATTATACACTATATTACCCCAAGTATTGTCCCCGCCCCCCCGTTCTCTTTACACTATATTGCCCCAAGTATTGTCCCCGGCCCCCCGTAATTTACACTATATTGCCCAAGTATTGTCCACCCCCCCCCCGTATATAGCACTATATTGCCCCAAGTATTGGCCCCCGCCCCCCAGTATATACACTATAATTGCCCCCAAGTATTCGGGGGAGGAGGCCGCTGGCCCCCCGTGTTAATATACACTATATTGCCCCAAGTATTGTGTTCTATGAAGAGTTGAGCCCACAGGGTAACTCTGTCCCCGCCCGCCCCGGGATAGTAAAGTATAATAAAACCCCAAGTATTGTTCCCCCCCGTATATGCACCTTATATGTGCCCAAGTATTGGGTCCCCGCCCCCCCCTGTATACACTATATTGCCCCAAGTATTGTCCGCCTGTCCCCAGTATATAACCACTATATTGCCCCCAAAAGTATTGTCCCCCCCCGTATTATACACCATATTGCCCCAAGTATTGGTCCCCACCCCCGTTTATGGACACTATGCTTTGGTGCCCAAGTATTTGCCCCACCCCCCCATATATATACCACATATTACCCCAAGTATTGTCCCCGCCCCCCCTTTTGGGCAACTTATACAACTATGTAATTGCCCCAAGTATTGTCTCCTGGCCCCCCCCCCCCCCCCCGTATATACACTATATTGCCCCAAGTATTGTTCCCCGCCCCCCCGTATATACACTATATTACCCCCAAGTATTGTCCCCGCCCCCCCGTATATACACGTTATATTACCCCAAGTATTGGGCCCCGGCTTCCCACACTTGGTCAGACAGATGGGACCTGCTTTAATGTGCCTCCCCAGCCCCCCCTTAGTCCGTAGGGTTCAATATTGAGTTGGCTGTTGGCCCCCTGCACTTCCACTTATAACCTATAATCCCCCCAGTCTTGGTGCCGTAGGGAAGGCCCGCCTTATGCCTCTTCTGGGAAGGCCCCCACAAGGTTTAGGACTCTGTCTATGGGAAGGTTGGGACCATTCTTCCTGAAGCAACATTTGTCTGTCCTGGGGGGAGGAGGCCTGATGTCGGGGGAGGGGCACTGGTCGGGGGAGGAGGCCTGTTGTTGCAGTTGGTCTCCGCTCTTTGTTATCATCCCAAAGGTGTTCTATGGGGGTTGAGTAGCCAGGACTCTGTGCAGGTGTTCTCCACCCCAAACTGGCTCCTACCGGTCTTTATGGACCTTGTCTGTCCTCGGTGCACTGGGGGGCTCCTGTTGGAACTGGAAGGGTCGTCCCCAAACTGCTCCCACAAAGTTTTGGGCATGAAATGTGTCGGGGGGGGGGGTCTCCTGTAAGTGTGTCTGTCACTGGGGGGGGTCTCCAAGTCCCAACCCCTGAGTGTGAACTGTCCCAGGGGTGGTCTCCCTGTTCCTCCAGTGTGTCACTTGTCACAATGGGGGGGGGTCTCCTGATTCGGTGTGTCTGTCCCTGGGCCAAAACCCGGGGTCTCATTGGTGTGTGTCTGTCCCCGGGGGGGTCTTCATGATCGGTGTCTGTCCTCTGCTCTAGAGTCCTTGTCGGTGGGCGGGGTGCTCACAGTCGGTTGTCTGTCCTGGGATGGGGGGGGTCTCAGCTGCTCGGCCATGGAAACCCATGTCTGAAGCTCTACGCCTGGGGGGGGGTCTCCTGTCGGTGTGTCTGTCACTGGGGGGGGGGGGGTCTTTGTCGGTGTGTTGTCCTCTGGGGGGGGGTCTCCTGTCGACTTCTGTGTCTGTGCGCTTCAGCATGGCTGACCTGTCCTGTCATGTGAGTTTGTGCCTACCCCTTGGTGGCTGGTGGCTGTTGTTCCTGTGGCTTGTTGTTATAATCGGGGGGGGGTATCATGGGTGTCTGTCCTGTTGGGGGGGTGTGTCTGTCCTCGGGGGGGGGGGGGGTCCTGTTGATGGGTCTGTCCCTGGGGGGGGGGGGGGGGGTCTCCTGTCGGTGTGTCTGTCCTCGTGGGGGGGGGGGTCTCCTGTCGGTGTGTCTGTCCCGGGGGGGGGGGGGGGGGTCTCCTGTCGGTGTGTCTGTCCCGGGGGGGGGGGGGGTCTCCTGTCGGTGTGTCTGTCCTCGGGGGGGGGGGGGGGGGTCTCCTGTCGGTGTGTCTGTCCTCCGGGGGGGGGGGTCTCCTGTCGGTGTGTCTGTCCCTCGGGGGTGGTCTCCTGTCGGGTGTGGTCTGTCCTCGGGGGGGGGGGTCTCCTGGTCTCCGGTGTGTCTGTCCCTGGGGGGGGGGGTCTCCTGTCGGTGTGTCTGTCCCCGGGGGGGGGTCTCCTGTCGGTGTGTCTGTCCTCGGGGGGGGGGGGGGTCTCCTGTCGGTGTGTCTGTCCTCGGGGGGGGGGGTCTCCTGTCGGGTGTCTGTCCTCGGGGGGTCTCCTGTCTCCTGGGGGGGGGGGGGGGGGTTCCTGTCGGGTGTGTCTGTCCCTGGGGGGGGGGGGGGGTCTCCTGTCGGGGTGTGTCTGTCCTCGGGGGGGAGGGGGGGGGGGGGTCTCCTGTCGGTGTGTCTGTCCTTCGGGGGGGGGGGGTCTCCTGTCGGTGTGTCTGTCCTCGGGGGGGGGGTCTCCTGTCGGTGTGGGGGGGGGGGGGGTGTCTCCCTGTCGGTGTGTGTCTGTCCCCCCGGGGGGGTCTCCTGTCGGTGTGTCTGTCCTCGGGGGGGGGGGGGGGGGGTCTCCTGTCGGTGTGTGTCTGTCCCTCGGGGGGGGGGGGGTCTCCCTGTCGGTGTGTCCTGTCGGTGTGTGTGTCTGTCCTCGGGGGGGGGGGGGGTCTCCTGTCGGTGTGTCTGTCCTCGGGGGGGGGGGGTCTCCTGTCGGTGTGTCTGGGGGGGGGGGGGGTCTCCTGTCGGTGTGTCTGTCCTCGGGGGGGGGGGGTCCCCTCCCTGTCGGTGTGTCCCCCTGTCCTCGGGGGGGGGGGTCTCCTGTCGGTGTGTGTCTGTCCGGGGGGGGGGGGGTCCTCCTGTCGGTGTGTCTGTCCTCGGGGGGGGGGGGTCTCTCCTGTCGGTGTGTCTGTCGGGGGGGGGGGGGTCTCCTGTCTGTCGGTGTGTCTGTCCTCGGGGGGGGGGGGTCTCCTGTCGGTGTGTGTCTGTCCTCGGGGGGGGGGGGGGTCTCCTGTCGGTGTGTCTGTCCTCGGGGGGGGGGGTCTCCTGTCGGTGTGTCTGTCCTCGGGGGGGGGGGGGGTCTCCTGTCGGTGTGTCTGTCCTCGGGGGGGGGGGGGTCTCCTGTCGGTGTGTCTGTCCTCGGGGGGGGGGGGGTCTCCTGTCGGTGTGTCTGTCCTCGGGGGGGGGGGGGGGTCTCCTGTCGGTGTGTCTGGGGGGGGGGGGGGGGGGTCTCCTGTCGGTGTGTCTGTCCTCGGGGGGGGGGGGGGTCTCCTGTCGGTGTGTCTGTGTCCCCGGGGGGGGGGGGGGTCTCCTGTCGGTGTGTGTCTGTCCCTCGGGGGGGGGGGGGTCTCCTGTCGGTGTGTCTGTCCTCGGGGGGGGGGGGGTCTCCTGTGTCGGTGTGTCTGTCCCGGGGGGGGGGGGGGGGTCTCCTGTCGGTGTGTCTGTCCTCGGGGGGGGGGGGGGGTCTCCTGTCGGTGTGTCTGTCCCGGGGGGGGTCTCCTGTCGGGTGTGTCTGTCCTCGGGGGGGGGGGGGGGGTCTCCTGTCGGTGTGTCTGTCCTCGGGGGGGGGGGTCTCCTGTCGGTGTGTCTGTCCTCGGGGGGGGGGGGTCCTGTCGGTGTGTCTGTCCTCGGGGGGGGGGGGGGGGTCTCCTGTCGGTGTGTCCCCCCCTCGGGGGGGGTCTCCTGTCGGTGTGTCTGTCCCCGGGGGGGGTCTCCTGTCGGTGTGTGTCAGTCCCTCGGGGGTGATGATGAGGGTTGGGATCACACCCCCCGGGGGTCTCACCAGCCGTCTTCCTTTCTCTCCTGGCAGTTGGCGGGTTGGAAGAACTGACCAAGAAATTCAGCAAGAACCTGGTTCTGTATGGACTGTGCCGAGTGCCGGACCCCCACACCCAGGGGCCCCGCTGTGTCCTCATATACTGGGTAAGATGACATCGGCCTTCATTATAAAGAGATAGGAGAGTCTGTGTGGAGGTCTCAGTGCAGTACCGCCCCCCACGTCGGCCTCCGGTGACATCTCCTTCTCAGGGTCTCCATTGGGACCCTTCAGTCCTTTTACTATTTATTGCTTCTAGGAGAACGGGGGGGGGGCAGGATACCCGACACAGGGGGCATGGGACTGGTGGGGGGGCAGGATACCCGACACAGGGGGCATGGGACTGGTGGGGGGGCATGATACCCGACACAGGGGGCATGGGACTGGTGGGGGGGCAGGATACCCGACACAGGGGGCATGGGACTGGTGGGGGGGCATGATACCCGACACAGGGGGCATACCCGACACAGGGGGCATGGGACTGGTGGGGGGGCATGATACCCGACACAGGGGGCATGGGACTGGTGGGGGGGGGGATACCCGACACAGGGGGGGCATGGGACTGGTGGGGGGGCGGGATACCCGACACAGGGGGCATGGGACTGGTGCTCTGGTATCACTGGGAGTAGTAGTAGTGGTACATGTAGGGTAGTGTGGTGGGTAGTAGTAGTGGTACATGTAGGGTAGTAGTAGTAGTGGTACATGTAGGAGTAGTGGTAGTAGTAGTAGCAGTGGTACATGTAGGAGTAGTAGAAGTGGTAGATGTAGGAGTAGTAGTGGTACATGTAGGAGTAGTAGTAGAAGTGGTAGATGTAGGAGGAGGAGTAGTAGTAGTGGTACATGTAGGAGTAGTGGTGGTTAGTAGCAGTGGTACATGTAAAAGTAGTGGTGGTAGTAGCAGTGGTACATGTAGAAGTAGTGGTGGTAGTAGCAGTGGTACATGTAGGAGTAGTGGTAGTAGTAGTAGTGGTACATGTAGGAGTAGTGGTGGTAGTAGTAGTGGTACATGTAGGAGTAAGTAGTGGCGGGTAGTAGTAGTGGTACATGTAGGAGGAGGAGTAGTAGTAGTGGTACATGTAGGAGTACTGGTAGTAGTAGTGGTACATGTAGTAGTAGTAGCAGTGGTACATGTAGGAGTGGTAGTAGTAGTGGTAAATGTAGGAGTAGTAGTAGTATTAGTAGCAGTGGTACATGTAGGAGTAGTGGTAGTAGTAGTGGTAAATGTAGGAGTAGTAGTAGTAGTAGCAGTGGTACATGTAGGAGTAGTAGTAGCAGTGGTACATGTAGGAGTAGTGGTAGTAGTAGCAGTGGTACATGTAGGAGTAGTAGCAGTGGTACATGTAGGAGTAGTATCAGTGGTACATGTAGGAGTAGTAGTAGTAGTGGTACATGTAGGAGTAGTGGTGGTGTAGTAGTAGCAGTGGTACATGTAGAAGTAGTAGTGGTGGTAGTAGCAGTGGTACATGTAGATGTAGTGGTAGTAGTAGTGGTGGTACATGTGTAGTAGTAGTAGCAGTGGTACATGTAGGAGTAGTGGTAGTAGTAGCAGTGGTACATGTAGGAGTAGTAGCAGTGGTACATGTAGGAGTAGTAGCAGTGGTACATGTAGGAGTAGTAGCAGTGGTACATGTAGTAGTAGTAGCAGTGGTACATGTAGGAGTAGTGGTGTAGCAGTGGTACATGTAGAAGTAGTGGTGGTAGTAGCAGTGGTAGTAGTAGGAGTAGTAGTAGTGAAGTAGTAGTGGTACATGTAGGAGGAGGAGTAGTAGTGGTACATGTAGGGAGTAGTGGTGGTAGTAGCAGTGGTACATGTAGAAGTACATGTAGTAGTAGTAGTAGTGGTAGCAGCGGAGTGGTACATGTAGGAGTAGTGGTAGTAGTAGCAGTGGTACATGTAGGAGTAGTGGTAGTAGTAGTAGTGGTACATGTAGAAGGAGTAGTAGTGGTGGTGGTAGTAGCAGTGGTACATGTAGGAGGAGTAGTGGTAGTAGCAGTGGTACATGTAGGAGTAGTGGTAGTAGTAGCAGTGGTACATGTAGGAGAGTAGTAGTAGTAAGTAGTAGCAGTGGGTGTACATGTAGGTAGTAGTGGTAGTAGCAGTGGTACATGTAGGAGGAGTAGTAGTAGCAGTGGTACATGTAGGAGTAGTGGTAGTAGTAGCAGTGGTACATGTAGAAGTAGTGGTGGTAGTAGCAGAGGTACATGTAGTAGTAGTAGCAGTGGTACATGTAGGGTAGTGGTAGTAGTGGTACATGTAGGAGTGGTAGTAGTAGTGGTACATGTGTAGTAGTAGTGGTACATGTAGGAGTAGTAGGTAGTAGTAGTAGCAGTGGTACATGTAGGAGTAGTGGTAGTAGTAGTAGTGTGGTACATGTAGGAGGAGTGGTATTAGTAGTGGTACATATAGTAGCAGTGGTACATGTAGGAGTAGTGGTAGTAGCAGTGGTACATGTAGAGGTAGTGGTGGTAGTAGCAGTGGTGTACATGTAGGAGTAGTAGTAGTAGTAGCAGTGTTACATGTAGGAGTAGTGTAGTAGTAGTGGTACATGTAGTAGTAGTGGTACATGTAGGAGTAATAGTAGTAGCAGTGGTACATGGTAGAAGTAGTGGTGGTAGTAGCAGTGGTACATGTAGGAGTAGTAGTAGTAGTAGCAGTGGTACATGTAGGAGTAGTGGTAGTAGTAGTAGTGGTACATGTAGGAGTAGTGGTAGTAGCAGTGGTACATGTAGAAGTAGTGGTGGTAGTAGCAGTGGTACATGTAGTAGTAGTAGTAGTAGCAGTGGTACATGTAGGAGTAGTGGTAGTAGCAGTGGTACATGTAGGAGGAGTAGTAGTAGCAGTGGTACATGTAGGAGGAGTAGTAGTAGCAGTGGTACATGTAGGAGTAGTGGTAGTAGCAGTGGTACATGTAGGAGTAGTAGTAGTAGTAGCAGTGGTACATGTAGGAGTAGTAGTAGTAGTAGTGGTACATGTAGCAGTAGTGGTACATGTAGGAGTAGTAGTAGTAGCAGTGGTACATGTAGAAGTAGTGGTGGTAGTAGCAGTGGTACATGTAGGAGTAGTAGTAGTAGTAGCAGTGGTACATGTAGGAGTAGTGGTAGTAGTAGTGGTACATGTAGGAGTGGTATTAGTAGTGGTACATGTAGTAGTAGTGGTACATGTAGGAGTAGTAGCAGTGGTACATGTAGGGAGTGGTGGTAGTAGTGGTAGTAGTGGTACATGTAGGAGTAGTAGTGTAGTAGTAGTGGTACATGTAGGAGTAGTAGTAGTAGTAGTAGTGGTACATGTAGTAGTAGTTAGTAGTGTACATGTAGGAGTAGTGATAGTAGTAGTAGTGGTACATGTAGTAGGAGTGGTAGTAGTAGTGGTACATGTAGGAGTAGTAGTAGTGGTAGTAGAGTGGTACATGTAGGAGTAGTAGTAGTAGTAGTAGTAGTGGGTACATGTAGGAGGAGTAGTAGTAGCAGTGATAATGTAGGAGTAGTAGTAGTAGTGGTACATGTAGGAGTAGTAGTAGTAGTAGTGGTGGTACATGTAGGAGGAGTAGTAGTAGTAGTAGTGGTACATGTAGGAGTAGTAGTAGTAGTGGTACATGTAGGAGTAGTAGTAGTAGTGGTACATGTAGGAGTAGTAGTAGTGGTGGTACATGTAGGAGTAGTAGTAGTAGTGGTACATGTAGTAGTAGTAGTAGTAGTGGTACATGTAGGAGTAGTAGTAGTAGTAGTGGTACATGTAGGAGTAGTAGTAGTAGTGGTACATGTAGGAGTAGTAGTAGTAGTAGTGGTACATGTAGGTAGTAGTAGTAGTAGTAGTAGTTACATGTAGTAGTAGTAGTAGTAGTAGTAGTAGTAGTAGTACATGTAGGTAGTAGTAGTAGTACATGTAGGTAGTAGTAGTAGTGGTACATGTAGGAGTAGTAGTAGTGGTACATGTAGGAGTAGTAGTAGTAGTAGTAGTGGTACATGTAGGGTAGTAGTAGTAGTAGTGGTACATGTAGGAGTAGTAGTAGTAGTAGTGTACATGTAGGGTAGTAGTAGTAGTAGTAGTGGTACATGTAGGGTAGTAGTAGTAGTAGTAGTGGTACATGTGTAGGGAGTAGTAGTAGTAGTGGTACATGTAGGAGTAGTAGTAGTAGTAGTAGTGGTACATGTAGTAGGAGTAGTAGTAGTAGTGGTACATGTAGGAGTAGTAGTAGTAGTAGTGGTACATGTAGGTAGTAGTAGTAGTAGTGGTACATGTAGTAGTAGTAGTAGTGGTACATGTAGGAGTAGTAGTAGTAGTAGTACATGTAGTAGTAGTAGTGGTACATGTAGTAGTAGTAGTAGTGGTACATGTAGGAGTAGTAGTATAGTAGTAGTGGTACATGTGTAGGAGTAGTAGTAGTTACATGTGGTACATGTAGTAGTAGTAGTGGTACATGTAGGAGTAGTAGTAGTAGTAGTGGTACATGTAGGGTAGTAGTAGTAGTAGTGGTACATGTAGGAGTAGTAGTAGTAGTGGTACATGTAGTAGTAGTAGTGGTACATGTAGGAGTAGTAGTAGTGGTACATGTAGGAGTAGTAGTAGTAGTGGTACATGTAGAGTAGTAGTAGTAGTGGTACATGTAGGAGTAGTAGTAGTGGTACATGTAGTGTAGGAGTAGTAGTAGTAGTGGTACATGTAGTAGGTAGTAGTAGGTGGTACATGTAGTAGTGAGTAGTAGTAGTAGTGGTACATGTGTAGTAGTAGTAGTGGTACATGTAGGAGTAGTAGTAGTGGTACATGTAGGAGTAGTAGTAGTAGTGGTACATGTAGGAGTAGTAGTAGCAGTGGTACATGTAGGAGTAGTAGTAGTAGTGGTACATGTAGGAGGTAGTAGTGGTACATGTAGTAGTAGTGGTGGTACATGTAGGGTAGTAGTGGTAGTAGGAGTGGTACATGTGGAGTAGTAGTAGTACAGTGGTACATGTAGTAGTAGTGGTACATGTAGGAGTAGTAGTAGTGGTACATGTAGGAGTAGTAGTAGTAGTGGTACATGTAGGAGTAGTAGTAGTAGTAGTAGTGGTACATGTAGGAGTAGTAGTAGTGGTACATGTAGGAGTAGTAGTAGCAGTGGTACATGTAGGAGTAGTAGTAGTGGTACATGTAGTAGTAGTAGTAGTGTAGGAGTAGGTACATGTAGGAGTAGTAGTAGTGGTACATGTAGGAGTAGTAGTAGTAGTGGTACATGTAGGAGTAGTAGTAGCAGTGGTACATGTAGGAGTAGTAGTAGTAGTAGTAGTAGTAGTGGTACATGTAGGAGTAGAAGTAGTGGTACATGTAGGAGTAGTAGTAGTAGTGGTACATGTAGGAGTAGTAGTAGTGGTACATGTAGGAGTAGTAGTAGTAGTAGTGGTACATATAGAAGTAGTGGTGGTAGTAGCAGTGGTACATGTAGGAGTAGTAGTAGTGGTACATGTAGTAGTAGTGGTACATGTAGGAGTAGTAGTAGTGGTACATGTAGTAGTAGTGGTACATGTAGGAGGAGTAGTAGCAGTGGTACATGTAGGAGTATCTTGGTATCCGTAGTAGCAGTCCTAGCAGTAGTAGTATAGTAGTAGTATCAGTAGTACTGGAAGAGGTAGTTGTAGTATTTGTAGCTGTAGTAGTTGTCTTCCTAGTAGTGATAGAGGTAGTATTAGTATTAGTGATAGTGATAACAGTATCATTGGTAGTAGTAGCGGCAGTAGTGGGAGTAGTTGTACTACTGGTGGTGGTAGTAGTAGTATTGGTAGTTCCCCCAGAGATCCCGTCTTTGCTCCCCCAGCACCGGTCCCAGGAGAAAATAGAAATAAAGGAATAGAATAGAAAAAAACTATAGAAAAGAAGAATAGAATATAATAAAATAGGAAATGAATAGAATAAAAAATAAAGGAATAGAAAAGAGTAGAATAGAATCGAGCCGTCTTCTGAAATTCGAAACAATACTATAGAATAGAATAGACAATACTATAGAATAGAATAGACAATGAATACTATAGAACAGAATAGACAATGAATACTATAGAACAGAATAGACAATGAATACTATAGAACAGAATAGACAATACTATAGAATAGAATAGACAATACTATAGAATAGAATAGACAATGAATACTATAGAATAGAATAGACAATGAATACTATAGAACAGAATAGACAATACTATAGAATAGAATAGACAATGAATACTATAGAATAGAATAGACAATGAATACTATAGAATAGAATAGACAATGAATACTATAGAACAGAATAGACAATGAATACTATAGAATAGAATAGACAATGAATACTATAGAACAGAATAGACAATGAATACTATAGAATAGAATAGACAATGAATACTATAGAATAGAATAGACAAATGAATACTATAGAATAGAATAGACAATGAATACTATAGAACAGAATAGACAATGAATACTATAGAACAGAATAGACAATGAATACTATAGAATAGAATAGAGAATGAATACTATAGAACAGAATAGACAATGAATACTATAGAATAGAATAGACAATACTATAGAATAGAATAGACAATGAATACTATAGAATAGAATAGACAATGAATACTATAGAATAGAATAGACAATACTATAGAATAGAATAGACAATGAATACTATAGAATAGAATAGAGAATGAATACTATAGAACAGAATAGACAATGAATACTATAGAATAGAATAGACAATGAATACTATAGAATAGAATAGACAATGAATACTATAGAACAGAATAGACAATGAATACTATAGAATAGACAATACTATAGAACAGAATAGACAATAAAGGACTAGAATAGGAGAGAATAGGATAGCATATAACAGAGTGACCGTCTTCCGAATTGAGAATTGTGAATAGAATAGATTCTGATTGGACGGCCGATTGGCCTCCATTCCACTGATTTCAGAAAACTCGAATCGAATTGGAGACACAAATGACCGAATCTAAACCAAATCTGAAAGTGAATAAAACGAAGCAAAATTATTTGAATAACGAATCGAATTTCTTCTTTCTGCTCGTCTGATTGTCGCCCAATTGCTCAGTTTTGGGGAAAACAGACTCCCCTAGGTCTCTGTGGTTCTCTAGGCAATGCTGGCAGATCATGGCTGGTGGGAGGGGCTTGCTGAAAACATCGCAGTCTCCCTACCTCAGGAGAGCTCAGCCCTGATACAACCAGTGGGAGGAGTTATACAAATATCGAAATGCCTTGATAGGTAGGCGTCAGTCTAGAGGAGTGGGTGGTCCTAGGCAGGCTGTATTTGCATAGGTAACACCCACATGTGACGCTGACTGGGAGAACTGAAATCCAGGGGGCGGGGCCAGGGACAGTCAGGTTAGGGAGGAGAGGGCAGGATGATGCTGGACGTCCTATCATGGCGTTCTCTGGAAAATGACCGCCTTTCTCCTCTGACAGGTCGGTGAAAACGTGGACGCACCGCGGAAGGAGATCAGCGCCCAGCACCTTCCCGCCATCCGCAGGTTCTTCAAGGTAGGTGACAGGAAGTGACCCCATCATCTTCACACCCCAGCAGGGGGCACCACCATTCCTGACCAGTTCCCTGGAGCTCAGTCCCCCCTGGGATCCGCATCCATAGAAAGGCTGAGTGTGGTGCTCCCCCTGCTGGTCACCGGGTGCTACAGACTGTGCTATCTGCTGATCATTCGAATGCAGGAAACTGATCAGCAGATTGCACAGCTAAAGAGTTCCAGATCAAAAATCATACACGGCTAAAGGGATGTCGGGAGTGCGTTCTTTCACATGATGCCGGGGGATGGGGGGGGGGAATGGTGGATAACGGTGGGAGGCGGGGCCAATGGTCATTGATATCATCCCTGGCTGTCTATGATTCTCTATGCAGTGCAGGCAGATTGTGGCTGGTGGGAGGAAATCTGACTAATGCCCATTGCGGGAGGCTGACACCATAGACCTGTATGTGTCATTGTTCCCCCAAATCCTGAGAGTGACCCCGTGTCCCCGTATTGTCTCACCCAGGAGGCCAGCGCCATGCTCCGCCCACAGCGCATGGAGGACATATCCCAGGAGGCCGTCACCCTGGCCCTCAGCAAAGTGCCACGCCCAGCCCGCTCCTTCCACAGACGGAGGATCCCCGCATCCCACGAGGTGGTGGTGAGTGACACCCAGTGCCTGACACCCGTATTACACGTCCTTCCCTTCCCCATCCGTACGGTAAGTCACCCTACAATGTTCCCAAATCCGACCCATCCGACCCATCCGAACCCACTGCCAGGAACAGTCCGCTCTATTCTATTCGGATTTCGGAAGACGGCTTTATTCTTACTATTCTATTCTATTCTTTTATTTTCTATTCTATTCTTTTTGAATATCGAATTTCAGAAGACAGCTATGTTCTATTCTATTTAATTTTTTTTGATTCCATTCTATTCTTTTCTGTTTTATTCTTTTATATTCTATTGTATTCTATCCTTTTCAAACTTTGAATTTCGGAAAATGGCTATATTGTTTCTATTCTATTCTTTCTTTCTTTCTTTCTATTTTTTTATTTTATATTCTATTTCATCCTTCTCTTTTCAAAATTAAAAATTTTGGAAGACAGTTATATTCTATTTTATGCTGTTCTATTCTTTTCTCTTCTATTCCCTTATTTTCTATTCTATTCTGTTTTATTCTCTTTTCTTCGTTTCTTTTCTTTTCAGAATTCAAATTTTTGGAAGACAGTTATATTCTTTCTATTCAATTCTACGTTTTTATTTTCTGTCCTGTTTTAGTCTATTCTATTCTATGCTTTTATGCTTTATTCCTTTATTTTCTATTCTATCCTGTTTTAGTCTATTCTATTCTATTCCTTTATTTTCTATTCTATTCTGTTTTAGTCTATTCTGTTCTTTTCGCATTCGAAGTTTGTCAGACGTCTAGATTCTAACACTGATACACGCGATCTTTGAAGGGAATCGGCAATATGTGTACATTTCAAATTTGTTTTCGAATTCTAACTCGATTTTCGTTTTGAAATTCAATTCGGATCATTCGTTATTTCAGACAATTTTTTTTTTTTCGTTTTTCCGGATTCAGTTAATTTCATTACTATTGTAATTTTCACATTCAGATACATCCGAATCTCCCAATGATGACAATTTCATTCAAATTTTGATTTGAACTGCACACGTCCAACCGATTGGTGAGAGCTCGCCGCCGCCCCTTCCTATTGGTGAGAGCTCGCCGCCGCCCCTTTCTATTGGTGAGAGCTCGCCGCCGCCCCTTCCTATTGGTGAGAGCTCGCCGCCGCCCCTTCCTATTGGTGAGAGCTCACCACTGCCCCCTTCGTATTGGTAAGAGCTCGCCGCCGCCCCTTCCTATTGGTGAGAGCACGCCACCGCCCCTTCCTACTGGTAAGAGCTCGCCGCCGCCCCTTCCTATTGGTGAGAGCTCGCCGCCGCCCCTTCCTACTGGTGAGAGCTCGCCGCCGCCCCTTCCTACTGGTGAGAGCTCGCCGCCGCCCCCCTTCGCATTGGTGAGAGCACGCTACCACCCCCTTCCTATTGGTGAGAGCACGCCACCACTCCTTCCTATTGGTGAGAGCATGCCACCGCCCCCTTCCTATTGGTGAGAGTACGCCATCGCCTCTTCATATTGGTGAGAGCATGCCACCGCCCCCTTCCTATTGGTGAGAGCACGCCACTACCCTCTTCCTATTGGTGAGAGCTCGCCGCCCCCTTCATATTGGTGAGAGAGTACGCCATCACCCCCCTTCGTATTGGTGAGAGCACGCCACTACCCTCTTCCTATTGGTGAGAGCTCGCCGCCCCCTTCATATTGGTGAGAGTACGCCATCACCCCTTCGTATTGGTGAGAGCTCACCTCCGCCCCCTTCATATTGGTGAGAGCTCGCCGCCCCCTTCATATTGCTGGACAGACTGCAAGCAAACACCCTGGGAAACATCTCTTACATGCCTGAGTCCCACTCTGTGTACCTTTATGTAATACACTCCTCTTCATACTACTATCCTCTGTTCCCAATCTCATTTCTTTACCCCTCTGCTCCACCCCAAAACCTGCACATCTCCCCCTCATTGCTATCATCTCCCTACTACTGCTCTCATCACCCCCCACAATGCCTCTTCTACTCCTTCTCATTTTCCTCTCCTCCATTCCCAAAATCCATTCACTATATCCCTCTGCTCCTCCTAAACATTTGTATATTGTGTCCTCACTGCTTCCTTCGCCCCTCTATGGCACCCACCACCTCCTCCTATTATTCCACTCTCCCACTGACCCCAACACCTCCCCACTAGGAGTTTCTCACGCTCCTGCACATCCCGCTCCCATGCCACCTTTCTCACCCTTCTCCTCCTCCTAGCCGCGGGAGACATCTCCCAATCCTGGCCCCTCCATGCGCTCCCCGAATCCTGGCCCTCCACCACCTCCCTCACCCGCACAACACCCCTCCCGCCGCCATGTCCTACCGCAACCTAGTATCTGTCCCCCTGCTCCCTAAAATCTCCCCCCCGTTTTCATGTGCACTCCTGAACGCCCGATCGGTGTGCAACAAGCTTACCGCCATCCACGACCTCTTTATCTCCCGCTCCCTCAACCTCCTGGCGATCACGGAAACCTGGATCCAGCCCACTGACTCTACCTCCCCTGCTGCACTCTCCTATGGAGGTCTCACCTGGACCCACTCACCCAGACCTAACGGTCGTAAAGGTGGTGGGGTTGGTCTGCTCCTGTCACCGCGGAGCACCTTCCGAGTCCTCCCAAACCCCCCCTCCCTATCCTTCTCCTCCTTCGAGGCCCACTGCGTCCGACTATTCTCCCCAACCCCCCTGAAGATTGCTGTGATATACCCGCCTCCTGGATCCATACCCCGCTTCATGGATGACTTCTCCTCCTGGCTACCCTTCTTCCTCTCCTCTGAGCTACCCACCATCATTCTTGGGGATTTCAACATCCCTGTCAACCTTGACAACCCGGACACAGCCCGTCTCCTCCACTTAACCTCCTCCTTTGCACTCGCACAGTGCATACAATCCACCACCCACTCCGACGGTAATATCCTTGATCTTGTCTTCTCCAACCGCTGCGCTCCCCCACAACCTCACTAACACCCCCTTCCCTCTCTCTGACCACAACCTGATCACCTTCCTTCTCTATCTCCTCGTCCTCCAACGCCCACCCCTCCAAATGTCACACTACTACCAGCCGTAACCTCCGCAACCTTAACCCTGCCCCCCTCCACTCTGCAGCTGATCAACTCCATGACAGCATCCTCCCCCTGTCCTGCCCCGACTTGGCTATGACTGCCTACAACAACGCGCTGTCAGCAGCCCTTGACTCACTAGCGCCTTTAACCACACGCAACATCAGACTCCGACCGCTCCAGCCCTGGCAGACTGATCACACCAAAACCCTCAAACGACACAGTCGTGCCCTGGAGCGACTATGGCGCAAAACCAAAACCCAACAAGCCTTCACCTGCTATAAATCTGCCTTCCACACCTACACCTCTCCTCCCTCCACGCAGCCAAACAAGCCTACTTCCTGACCCTCATCAAGGCCCTCTCCTCCAATCCTCGCCGACTCTTCTCCACCTTCAACTCTCTACTCTCGCCACCCCCACCTCCACCCAGCACCTCACTCACCGCCCTTGAGATTGCCAATCACTTCAAAAACAAGATTGACACAATTCGCAAGGACATCTCCGCAACTCACACGCCCTCTCAACCCGTCCCCTCTCACACAGCTACCCCCTCATCCCCCCCTCCCCCTCGACATTACCCGCAGGGACTTCGTCACTGCTCAAACTCCCTCCGACCCCATTCCCCCTCACTCGGCTACCCCCCCTCATCACCCCTCTCCCACGGCCCCACCACTGCTCTGACCTCCACTCCCACCCCACCCTACATTCCTCATACTGAAGCTCCCCCAACACTCCACACCTTTGACCTTACTACCATCGAGGAAGTCTCCAAGATCCTCTCTGATGCCCGCCTCACCACCTGCCCCCTCGACCCTATCCCCTCACAATTCCTACGACCTCCCTCCCCCTCCATCCTACGCTCCCTCACCCACATCTTTAATCTCTCCCTCTCCTCCGGCACTTTCCCCTCCCCACTGAAGCATGCACACATCACCCCCATACTTAAAAAGCCCTCCCTGGACCCCCAATGACCCGAACAACCTCAGACCCATCTCCCTGCTCCCACTTACATCTAAACTCCTCGAGCGTCTCGTCTACACCCGCCTATGCTCTCACCTCAACGACAACAACCTCCTCGATCCCCTACAGTCTGGCTTCCGCCCCCTACACTCCACCGAAACCGCCTTACTCAAACTCTCCAACGACCTTCTAACCGCCAAAGCTAATGGCCACTATTCAGTGCTCCTACTCCTTGACCTCTCTGCGGCCTTCGACACAGTTGACCCCCCCCTCCTCCTCAAAATACTACACTCCCTCGGCCTCAGAGATTCTGCTCTCTCCTGGCTCTCATCCTACCTGTCACAACGCTCTTTCAGCGTTACCTATAATGCTACCACCTCCCCCTCACTCCCCCTCTCTGTTGGGGTCCCTCAAGGCTCTGTCCTTGGGCCCCTTCTCTTCTCCATCTACACCTCCTCCCTTGGCCAACTCATACACTCTCACGGCTTCAACTACCACCTCTATGCCGACGGACACACAAATCTATCTCTCAACCCCCCACCTCACCCCTTCGGTCTCTGCCCAAATCACACACCTACTGAGCGACATATCAGATTGGATGTCGCTCCACTTCCTTAAACTGAAATCTCTCCAAAACCGAGCTCCTTGTCTTCCCCCCAGCCCGAACCCCACCCCCCATTGACTTCTACATCACATCCAACAACGTCAATATCAAACCCGCTCTGCAGGCCAGAGTACTTGGTGTCATTCTGGACTCCAACCTATCCTTCCAGCCCCAAGTCCAATCTTTAACAAACTCATGCAGACTCCACCTCCGCAACATCGCCAAAATCCGCACGTTCCTAACCCCAGAAACCACTAAACAGCTCATCCACTCCCTCATCATATCACGACTCGACTACTGCAACTCCCTCCTCACTGGCCTGCCTCGCCGCTGGCTATCCCCGCTTCAGTTGATCCTGAATACGGCTGCCAGACTCATTCACCTTTCCAACCGCTCCATTTCCGCCACCCCCCTCTGCCAATCCCTCCACTGGCCTCCATTCAGTGTCCTCCACCCCCCTCTGCCAATCCCTCCACTGGCTTCCGATTGCGCAACGGATCAAATTTAAAATCCTAACACTGACGTACAAAGCTGTCCACCATACTGCCCCGAACTACATCACTGACCTAATATCCAAGTACCGCCCAACACGCACACTCCGCTCCTCACAAGACCTCCTTCTCTCTAGTTCCCTGGTCTCCTCCTCCTCCTCCCATGCCCGCCTCCAGGACTTCTCCAGGGTGTCACACATCCTCTGGAACTCCCTGCCCCAACCCATCAGATTATCACCTACTCTCCTCTCCTTTAGGCGCACCCTGAAAACCCATCTCTTCAGGGAAGCCTACCTCACCCCTTGCTAACTTGCTGACCTCCTCCATTCTTCCTACCACTCCATCCCCCACAGCTATCTCCTCCTGTACCACCATCCCCTCCCTCCTAGATTGTAAGCTTGAAAGAGCAGGGCCCTCGATCCCCTCATGTTTTGCATTGTATTGGTATTGTTCTGTCACATGTTCTGTCCCCCTTTGTAATGTACAGCGCTGAGTGAACTATTGGCGCTTTATAAATACTGTATAAATAATAATAATAATAATAATATTGGTGAGAGTACGCCATCACCCCTTTGTATTTGGTGAGAGCTCACCTCCGCCCCCTTCCTACTGGTGAAAGCACACCGCCACTGCTCCTTTCTACTGGTGAGAGCTCGCCGCCGCCCCTTCCTATTGGTGAGAGAGCACACCACTGCCCCCTTCCTATTGGTAAGAGTACGCCAACGCCCTCTTCATATTGGTGAGAGCTCGCCGCCCCCTTCCTATTGGCGAGAGCTTGTCACCGCCTCTTCCTATTGGTGAGAGCACGCCACCGCCCCCTTCCTATTGGTGAGAGCACACCGCCACCCCCCCTTCATATTGGTGAGAGTACGCCACCACCGCCCCTTCCTTTTTGGTGAGAGCTCGCCGCCAACCCCTTCCTATTGGTGAGAGTACGCCATCGCCCCCTTCCTATTGGTGAGAGCTCGTCACCGCCCCCTTCCTATTGGTGAGAGCTCGCCGCCACCCCCTTCCTATTGGTGAGAGTACACCACCACCCCCTTCATATTGGTGGTGAGAGCTCGCCGCCGCCTCTTCATCGTACACACACTGCTCGTGGAGGGTAAGTCCTTCTCTTCTCTTTCTTTTTTAGGGTACAAATTACACCAAAACCAACCCGGCCATCGAGATGAAGTTCAGTATGAGGGACTCGTTCTGGCAGAGGAAATGAGGTGAGCTTCCGCTAGGAATGGGCGTAGCGTGACCGTCCTGTTCAGGTGTAGAAGACATGTATGGAGTCACGTGATGCCTCGAGATCACCCACCATCCCGGAGATCAGGAGGCCAGATATTAATAATCGGAGGAGCCATGTGACCCCGGGGCCCGCTCTCATCCTCGCCCTCCCCGCTCTACTGTAACCTCACTGTTTTCTCTGCAGAAGGAGGAGGAGAGGCGGAAGGAGCAGGAACGTCTGCGGTTACAGGAGGAACGCATTGCGATGGAGAAAGCGAGAGTAGAGAGAGAGAGACTGGAAGAAAGAAAGAGGGAGCGCCGGATCCAGGAGAAGGAGAGGATGGTGGATGAGCAGAGGTGAGGACATCATATTGTCTTCTCTAGACCTGATACCAGATATGACCAAATGGAGCACTGCTCCCCCTCTAGTCACATGACTTCAATTGGTGGAGGAGCAGAGGTGAGGACGTCATATTGTCTTCTCTAGACCTGATACCAGATATGACCGAATGGAGCACTGCTCCCCCTCTAGTCACATGACTTCAATTGGTGGAGGAGCAGAGGTGAGGACATTGGACCCTCTGCTCTGGACCTGATACCAGACATGACTGAATGGAGCACTGCTCCCCCTCTGGTTCCATGACTCAGATTGGTGGAGGAGCAGAGGTGAGGACATTGGACCATCTTCTCTGGACCTGATACCAGACATGACTGAATTGAGCACTGCTCCCCCTCTGATTCCATGATTTAGATTGGTGGAGGAGCAGAGGTGAGGACATTGGACCATCTTCTCTGGACCTGATACCAGACATGACTGAATTGAGCACTGTTCCCCCTCTGGTTCCATGACTCAGATTGGTGGAGGAGCAGAGGTGAGGACATTTGACCATCTTCTCTGGATTATGTACTGATACCAGACATGACTGAATGGAGCACTGCTCCCCCTCTGGTCACATGACTCAGATTTGGAGGAGCAGGAGACAGAGGTGAGGACATCGAATGGAGCAATTGTCATTCTCTGGACCTGATACCAGACATGACTGAACAAAGCACTGCTGCTCCCCCTCTGGTTCCATGATTTAGATTGGTGGAGGAGCAGAGGTGAGGACATTGTATTGTCTTCTCTGGACCTGATACCAGACATGACTGAATGGAGCACTGCTCCCCCTCTGGTCACATGACTCCAATTGGTGGAGGAGCAGAGGGGAGGACATTGGACCATCTTCTCTGGACCTGAAACATGACTGGACATGACTGAACGGGGCACTGCTCCCCCTCTGGTTCAATGACTCAGATTGGTGGAGGAGCAGAGGTGAGGACATCGTATTGTCTTCTCTGGACCTGATACCAGACATGACTGAATGGAGCACTGCTCCCCATCTGGTTCCATGACTCAGATTAGTGGAGGAGGAACACTGCTCCCCCTCTGGTTCCATGACTCAGATTGGTGGAGGAGCAGAGTTGGACAGGACCATCTTCTCTGGGCTATGTACTGATACCAGAAAAAAACACTGCTCCCCCTCTGGTTCCATGACTCAGATTGGTGGAGGAGCAGAGGGGAGGACATTGGACCATCTTCTCTGGGCTATTGTACTGATACCAGACAAAACTGAACAGAGCACTGCTCCCCCTCTGGTTCCATGACTTAGATTGGTGGAGGAGCAGAGGGGAGGACATTGGACCATCTTCTCTGGATATTGTACTGATACCAGACATGACATGAATGGAGCACTGCTCCCCCTCTGGTCACATGACTTAGAATGGTGGAGGAGCAGAGGGGAGGACATTGGACCATCTTCTCTGGACATTGTACAGATACCAGACATGACTGAACGGAGCACTGCTCCCCCCTCTGGTCACATGACTTAGAATGGTGGAGGAGCAGAGGTGAGGACATTGGACCATCTTCTCTGGACATTGTACAGATACCAGACATGACTGAACGGAGCACTGCTCCCCTTCTGGTTCCATGACTTGGGTTCCTTGTATGGATGCTGCTAATGAGAATGACTCTGCCACTGGTCCTTGGGGTCTTTTGGAAGGTGCCCAGGTCCTTACCCTCTGTGCCCGCTCACTGCATGCTTGCTGTTGGTTCTCTGGAAGATGTTTGTTCGTCTGCCTCCTTTTGATGGTGACATTCCAGGTTCAGGCACTTTTCATTTTCATTCCCTTGAACCAAAACCACTTAGACCGCCCCCCACCATCCATGCAGTGTCCTAGGCGTGGGATAATTCATTGTAGCACACTGGATCTTCTAGAACTGAAGCATCGTTTCCGGCTCTTTACTAACCTCATCATCATCTGTGTTTTTCCAGGAAGGAGCAGGCAAGACTGGAGGCTGAGCAGAGAAGGACAGAGAAGGCTCGATGGGTGAGTGACAGATGGTAGTCTGTAGGGGTCATAATTCTCAATACAGGGAAGCAGTTCTGTCTGTTATCCAGGAGGGGGCGCCCCTGTACACCACTTATCACAACGTAGTGAGATAGGGACAGTAATGTTTGGTAAAAAAAAAAAAAATGGCACTTCTGTCCTGGCTTGGACCGCCACAGTCCAACCCGACACTTCTGTCCAGCCTTAGCCCCCACAAACCAGCCTCACACTTCTGTCCATGCCCCCTGAACTGTCACGGCCCAGCCTCACACCTCTGACCAGGCTTGTCCCACCACAGCCCAGCCTGACACCTCTGACCAAGCTGGATCCACAACAGCCCAACCTTACACCACTGACCAGGCATGACCCACCACAGCTTAGCCTCACACATCTGACCAAGCTGGACCCACAACAGCCCTACCTTACACCTCTGACCAGGCTTGTCCCACCACAGCCCAGCCTCACACCTCTGACCAAGCTTGACCCACCACAGCCCAACCTCATACCTCTGACCAAGCTTGATCCACCACAGCCTAGTCTCACATCTCTGACCAAAGACCCCCAAAGCTTAGGCTCACACCTCTGACCAAGCTTGATCCACCACAACTCAACCTCACACCTCCAGTTAAGCTTGTCCCACCACAGCCCAGCCTGACACCTCTGACCAAGCTTGATCCACCACAGCCCAGCCTCACACCTCTGACCAGGCATGACCCACCACAGCCCAACCTCATACCTCTGACCAAGCTTGATCCACCACAGCCTAGTCTCACATCTCTGACCAAATTTGACCCACCAAAGCTTAGGCTCACACCTCTGACCAAGCTTGATCCACCACAACTCAACCTCACACCTCCAGTTAAGCTTGTCCCACCACAGCCCAGCCTCACACCTCTGACCAAGCTTGATCCACCACAGCCCAGCCTCACATCTCTGACAAAGCTTGCCCCACGGCTCTGCCCAACCTCACAACTCTGACCAGGCTTGACCCACCACAGCTCAGCCTCACACCTCTGACCAAGCTTGACCCACCACAGCTCAGACTCACACCTCTGACCAGGCATGACCCACCACAGCTCAGGCTCACACCTCTGACTAGGCATGACCCACCACAGCTCAGCCTCACACCTCTGACCAAGCTTGACCCACCACAGCCCAACCTCACACCTCTGACCAGGCTTGACCCCCCACAGCTCAGGCTCACACCTCTGACCAGACTTGACCCCCCACAGCTCAGGCTCACACCTCTGACCAAGCTTGACCCACCACAGCTCAGGCTCACACCTCTGACCAAGCATGACCCACCACAGCTCAGGCTCACACCTCTGACTAGGCATGACCCACCACAGCTCAGCCTCACACCTCTGACCAAGCTTGACCCACCACAGCCCAACCTCACACCTCTGACCAGGCTTGACCCTCCCACAGCTCAGCCTCACAACTCTGACCAAGCTTATCCCACCACAGCTCAGCCTCCCATCTCTGATTAAGCTAGACCCACCACAGCTCAGCCTCACACCTCTGACCAAGCTTGACCCACCACAGCTCAGCCTCACACCTCTGACCAAGCTTGACCCACCACAGCTCAGCCTCACATTTCTGATTAAGCTTGACCCACCACAAATCAAATTCACACCTCTGACCCAGCCTGAACCACCAGTGTCCAGCCTCACACCTCTTTCGTGGCCTGAACTGTCGCATCTTAGTCCCACACCTCTGTCCAAGCCTAAACCACCACAATCCAGCCTCACACATCTGTCTGAACATGATCGGCCTCAACCCAGCCTCACATCTCTGTCCAAACCTGAACCACCACAACTAAGCCTCTCACCTCATTCCCAGCCAGACCCCCCTCAAACCAGCCACACACCTCTGCTGAAGCCTGAACCAGCTCAAACCTCCGTCCAGGCCTGAACCACCACAGACCAGCCTCACACGTCTGTCCTGGCCTGACATTTCCACTGACAGAGGTTATAGTCCAGAGTTGATTAGGGCAGTGTCTCCAGGAAACACAGCCAGCCCATGCTGATGTACCTGCTAATCTGATACTCCTTGGAGGAGGGCTTTCCAGCTGGCTCACTCACACAGCTCATATTCCTGAGATTCTCTGGAAGTATATTTAGGAAATACACCCAGTCTCTTCTGATGGAGAAGATTCATCTGTGGGGAGGTGTTCCTAGAATGTATGACCAGCCACGATGATGTAGCTCATAGTTCAGAGCTCCTCGGGGGAGTGTCTCCATAAAAAACACAGATAGCTTTTCTGTTATCCCGAAATCTATGATTCTCTAAAACTGAATCCTGCCTCCTTCTGATTGTAGTATGGGGTAACAGGAGCATGTGAATGTGAAATCAGTTAGAATTTCAGGATACCCCAATGCTGAGAAGAAAGGAATTTGTCTGGCAGAAACTTTTTAGTATTGAAGCCTCATAATGATGACTGGCTGCAGATGACGGACAGTTGGCTGTCTAGAGGAGCAAGAGGGTGAACCCATGAGTCTTATGGATCCAAGTGAGCTCAGGTGAACAGCTGGAGCATCACCCAAGCTTCATACAATACTCATTCTTGGTCATTCTTCTGGTTGTACAGTATGGTCTCCAGCCCTCCTCCACTTCTGATCATGAATTGCACACCATAGCTATGTATATATAACGTAGCCATAGTAGTCACAACAATAGATGTTTCCGGTTCTTAACCACAAAGACAAACTCAGTACTATCCCAGCCGGGTACAAGCTATACTACACGATAGAGTTCTGATAGACCTGGACAGCTCTGGGTATCTGCTGACAGAGATCTTCTGCTCATTGTGTGCTCCTCTGGTTTGGATGTTTCAGGCCCAGCAGCAGAGGGAATTTGAAGAGGAGATGAAAGGAAGATTTAGGCGCAGTCAGTCCATCGAGATGGCCGCGGTGA